ACAGAAGGATCGAAACCAGCAAAGTGACAGTCAGCGACTGCCGAGGAATCGATGCTGTGTGCATCGCTACCAGGGTTTTTATATGCATAAGACCAGAGAGTCAATGACCATAAAAAGGAAAAAGATAAACATCAAAAGGAGATAAGGGCATTTCCAAATGAAGACATGTTCCTGTCTAAGACCAAATTAGATAAAGACCTGCTCCCGTCTCAGACCAAAATTGGATTAAAGTGTAGATGTACAGGCCAGGCTATTTTTCAACCACAGCAGAGCAGGCTATATTTCAACCTTACATTACATAGATGTGGTCATGGTATTCATTTAGTTCATGCACAGTTCAGCAGACGTGTGCAGGCTAGGCTATATTTCAACCTCACATCATGTGTCACATTAATAAATGTGGTCAGTGTAACACAAAGAATCACAGTTCATACAAAGGTAATTCACTAAATGATCATTTTTCCCCTACAGCTCTATTGGCTGAAAGGGAATATAATATTGTATGTTTAGTATTGTATGTTTAAAGGCATCCTATGCGGGTGTAAACAATGCGACTCCCCGTTGCCATGGAGACCCAAGCAAACAAAAAATAAAAAGTGCTCAAAATGCCCAAAAAGTAAAAATAGCAAAAAACACAGGCTAAAAACACACTGAAAACACACATGTTCAATAGGATCGAAGCGTAGGACATCGAACAGGCAAAGATAGACTCCGAAGAATGTATGTGACGTTGCACCGTAAAGCAATTTGTGATTCTCGCGAGATTTGGCGGGGCGCCACCTTTCAGACTTGCATTGCTGGTTCTGCCAGCAGCGTCCCTCTCCTGCTTTGCTATCGGGATGATTCGCTATACTACGAGTTTGTTTACCATCGAAATGACTTCGAAGCTGTTATATTAAGGTAAAAATCTTGCATAGTGTGCCTTTAATTCCTGTACAATCACCTGAATATAGGAAGTGTTGAGTTACCGTTACCTTAGTATTAGCTGTTTTATCTACAGATCACGCGGGTCACCTTCCATGGAGTCGGGCATGTTGAACTGCCATGTGGCTGTAAATGGCACAGCCCATTCTCATTCCCAGGTTGTCAAAAACATAAGCAAGCGACGTTCAGGCGGAGTTGCATGCTGCAACTTCTCTGCTAAATGCCCCTAAATCCTACACACTGGTCTTTTAAGTGCATCACTGTGAAACTTCTAATCAATATTTTCATACATGGAAGGCACAGAGAACACTTCATCAAGCTTCATCTTTGTGAATGAGTCCAAGACCTGGAAGGCGGCACAGAGCTACTGCAGGCAGCACTACACTGACCTGGCCAGTGTGAGGAACCAAGCTGAGAATGACCTGATGAAGGACAAAGTGCCAAGTGGACAGCAAATGTGGATCTACAGAGACACATGGAGCTGGTCAGATGGGAGCGTACATTCTTTCACTAAGTGGGCTCCCAGTTCACCATCCATCTCAATTGAATACTCATGTGCCTTTTCAAAGTTGGGCAAATGGTATAATCTTAACTGTATGTATGTTACACTGGTGAGATTGATTTGCATACTCTACTCTAACAAGTCAATATTCACAGCCACCCTGTGATTATTATCTTACATTTTTACAGTTTAATCCCACATCTGCAACATGAAAAGGTTTCTATTCCCTTATATGAAACAGCTCCATTTGACAACTGTTAGAATTCATATTATGGCAAGAACCAATCAGCTAAGTAAAGAGAATCGACAGTCCATCATTTACTTTAAGAACTGAAGGTCAGTCAGTCCGGAAAATTGCAAAAACTTTGAATGTGTCCCCAAGTGCAGTCGCAAAAACCATCAAGCGCTACGACGAAACTGGCTCACATGAGGACCGCCCCAGGAAAGGAAGACCAAGAGTCACCTCTGCTGCTGAGGATAAGTTCATCCGAGTCACCAGCCTCAGAAATCGCAAGTTAACAGCACCTCAGATTAGAGCCCAGATGAATGCCACACAGAGTTCTACTGTTCAGAGGAGACTACGCGAATCAGGCCTTTATGGTCAGATAGCTGCTAAAAAAACACTACTAAGGAAAAGCAACAAGCAGAAGAGATTTGTTTGGGCCAAGAAACACAAGGAATTGACATTAGACCAGTGGAAATCTGCTTTGGTCTGATGAGTACAAATTTGAGATCTTTGGTTCCACCCGCCGTGTCTTTGTGCCACGCAGAAAAGATGAACGGATGGTCTGTACATGCATGGTTCCCACCGTGAAGCATGGAGGAGGAGGTGTGATGGTGTTGGGGTGCTTTGCTGGTGACACTGTTGGGGATTTATTCAAAATTGAAGGCACACTGAACCAGCATGGCTACCACAGCATCCTGCAGCATCATGCCATCCCATCCAGTTTGCGTTTAGTTGGACCATCATTTATTTTTCAACAGGACAATGACCCCAAACACACCTCCAGGCTGTGTAAGGGCTATTTGACCAAGAAGGAGAATGATAGAGTGCTGCGCCAGATGATCTGGCTTCCACAGTCACCTGACCTAAACCCAATCGAGATGGTTTGGGATGAGATGGACCGCAGAGTGAAGGCAAAAGAGCCAGCAAGTGCTCAGCATCTCTGGGAACTCCTTCAAGACTGTTGGACTACCTCATGAAGCTCATCGAGAGAATGCCAAGAGTGTGCAAAGCAGTAATCAAAGCAAAGGGTGGCTATTTTGAAGAATCTAAAATATAAAACATGTTTTGAGTTATTTCACACTTTTTTGTTTACTATATAATTCCATATGTGTTCATTCATAGTTTTGATGCCTTCAGTGAGAATCTACAATGTAAATAGTCATGAAAATAAAGAAAAACCATTAAATGAGAAGGTGTGTCCAAACTTCTGACTGGTAGTGTACACACATAGATACAAGATACATAGGGATACCAAGACATAAGAAGAATATACACTCAGTGCAGCACATTGAGCACATTTAACCCTCCCTGTCCTGTGCATAGAAGAACGCAAGATGAAGAAGCACATGGTGAAGGTGCTGCTGAAGAAAAAACACGCCCCCTCTGTTGACATGGACAAGCTGAAGAAAGACATCTTGGAAGGGGTAAAGATGTTTGAGTGTAAAGCAATGTAATGTGGCATAAATAATTGAACGTTTCATCAGTTTAAGTTGGTACAATTTCATCATGCAAAGGATGGTTGAGTGAAGACATTGGAACATTTACCAAACTGTTTTGGTGGCAGATATAGGGAAGCTGAATGAAAGGCATGTCATCATATACGGCTGAACTAGGCTCAAACACCAGAGAGCAAATAGTTGCATTGACCTGTACTGTATTCTTAGCCGCACTAGCTGTGTCTTGTTCATATCCCCATAAGGATGATTTGTAAGAAATCTGTGAACAAGTCCTTCATTGTTTTAATATTCAATATCCAAAATAAATTAGTTGTGCACACATCACTCAGAAATATTAGGTGAGATGCTGAATCTCTAGATGATGATCCACAACACACAAAATCTGCTAGGGCTGCCCCTGACTGAAGATATTCTGAGTCAACTAGTCGCAGCACGTTTGTGATATTAATTTAATTATTTAAAATATAGATTTTAACGGCTGCCTGTTAAATGCTCGCAGAAAAAGCAGTAATAAACCTGAATGTGTCAGAACAAGCAGCAAGGAGGCCGAACATTTCATTCATTAATTTCAACACAGTATAATTCAATTCAATTCAATTTTATTTGTATAGCGCTATAAGTTATCTCAGGACAGTATAACATCACACAAATCTTGTTCACGGCTTATCGATATGATAACTCGCTCCTCTTCCTCTGTTTCATTCCTCCACTATCACTGTCTGAATCTGCCCATGTTTTTCCCGATGGAGTCATAATAGTCCTGTTTGGAGCCATTAGAAAATCAGCTGGCACATTCCGGCAGTATTCCCTGCTAGGTCCCCCCGCTCCACTCCTACTAGTAACTCCCCCTGTCCTTCGAGCTCCCAGTCCAGGTACAGTCAGCTAACAGGACTGCTAACTAGCTACACGCTGGCAGAAGTTGAAAAGGTGTAAATGTGAAAAGACGCATGCGCAATCCTTTCTCCTCACTTTGGAAACCATCAATTATCTGCTACAATCTTCGTTGTAAAGACTTGTTTTCTCTCATACTAGTGGAATCTGACTACAGAGTCATTCAGCCAGGACCACTTTTGTCAAAAGAACTTTATTTCCAAAGCATGTGTTACATTTGACGGTATGGCTCTGTTTCTGGGAGCTCCTTGCCTTTCCATGTGCCTACGTGTGCAGTCAGGGATACATGGAATTTTGAGGGAATTTAATCCATTTTGGAACAAGGCTATAACATAACAAAATGTGGGAAAATTGAAACGCTGTGAATGCTTTCCGGATGCACAGTGTATTTACTGTGAGGATCAGCTTGGCCCAAAGCAAATCAAACAACAAACCAAATAAAATAAAATAAAACAAATGGAAAGTAACTGGGGGAAAAAGATAACTAGCTCCGTTATAAACTGTCAGTGGAATCAGCACATCCCTATTTGTAGATCAATATTAACAGGACATCATGTTAAATCCATTTCATCACTTGGATTCCATCACTTTCTGTCACTAGGTTAGCATGTTTTAGCATCTATCGCTAGTTGTGTTAACCTGAAGTAACAACAAGCAAATGTAATAGAGACATTTATATTATGTGTTGGTCCATTCTTACCAATTTTTTTCAAACATCCAAAAGAAAAGCAAAATAAATACCTGGAACTGTGTGTGCAGTAGGTGTGCTTTGACAAGATTTAGCTTAACTTGAACAATATGCTGTCTGAAGATAGAAAGGGTGGTTTACCACTTCTCATTTTTTCTTTACACTTATGTACAGTATCTGTTCATGTGACTGCCATTGAACAGATCAAGGATCAGTTGGTGGTTGTACAAACTATTTTCATCACCTCTGAAACTTGTGACTTCCTCAAAAGTTGCAGAGAAATTGAAGCTCTCATCGTTCTGCTGTGCTGGAGCCGTGCTGCAGAGCTGACTGTAGGAAATCGTTGGTGACTTTATGAGCAATGGAGGAGATCTATGCCAATGTTGAATATGACAAACCCATTGACCCAAGACCTTCAGCAAATCAGACAGGTAAAACCAGTCAGACTGAGAGTTTGTGCATAGATGTATATTATCATCTGTCATTATTAATATTGTACACTTGACTGTATTCACTGATCTTTCAGGTCCCAGGAGCTCTGAGAGGAGATTTCATGGATCTGTTGTTTTCTGTCTGGGTCTGTTCACTGTTCTCCTGCTGGTTGGACTCATCTGCCTCGGTGTCCACTGTGAGTCTGGTTTTCATGAGTTAACGTCAGTTTGAACTTTGATTTTCATGTTCTCTGATTTATTTTTTCTTGACATCTGGCAATATTTCCCTTTACTTGTCTTAAAAGCACTTTATAAATCTGTTCTGAAAGGTACTGGGCATGTCGTGATACCAGAAATTGAGTTCAGTCAGGACCACTTTTGTCAGAATAACTTTTATTCCGAAGCAGAATGTTACATTTGGTGGTATGGCTCTGTTCTGGGACCTCCTTGCCTTTCCACGTGCCTACGTGGAAAACCTTAAGGCAGGGATAGCACACCTCCGTGTCCTTCCATGTGCATACATGGAAAAGTTTAAGACAAGGAGAGCGGCAGCAGAGACCTCCCAGGGTACAGAACAGAGCAAGTATCAATGGCAATCAGAAAATGACATTGATTAATTAGATACAACATAACAGGAGGAGCTGGGGTGGAGGTGGGTTACAAAACAGCTTGTAGAGAAAGCAGCAAAGATACGCAGGCTAAAGCAGCTTAAATAAGACACCATTAATGATATTTGCCAATTGGATACTTGAGGGAATCAGCTGAGCTGTCAGTTGACTGTGGATAGTTTTCCAATAGGAAGCTTAGGAGGAATCAGCTGGTGTGTGTTTACGACTAGCTGTGATTAGCTGATGTACCACGGACATTTCATGATTCTCTGGTGGATATCTCTTCACGAGACCTGCTCTATTTGAAAAGCGTCGTGAGATAACTTCTGTTATGAAATGGCGCTATACAAATAAAATGAAATTGAATTGAACTGAATTGAATTGAATATTGATCTCCTCCACTCCACTTCAGTACTATAGACAGTATGGCCCGACAGTAACATGTACATCAGCCAATCATTTTGTCGCTTTTGCTATTTTTCTGTAGAGACATAAAGCTTAAACAGAGGGGGCAAAAAAATCTGAGCCCCCTTTAGCCGCCTCGTGGAGCAGGGCCCGGAAGATCGTAGTTTTTTTGTTTGTGTAGGACCTGGCTGATGAGGACACAAGGTTTGTCAGTACCGGTATAATTGTTTATTTTGATTGAAATTGAGTTACTTTATAACATCCTTTTGTAGTTTTAATTTGTAGTCTCACAAGTCAATCTCTAAATGCGTCTCTCAATAGAGACACAGGACAGGTACAGCGCCGTGCCATCAGTATCTGATTTATTAGGACAAACACAAGAGGCTCGTACCTATTTATATAGTCTTTTTTTTCCTACCAAAAATGTTTTGTGCTGGTCAGGGGGTACTTGGCTAAATCTTTTAATCATGTCTTTTATCATATTTATAAATAAAAAACCCACAGTAGTAGTTTTTATTCACATTTCACTCAAACAGACGGCATACAGCTTCATTCACTGTCAGATAAAGGAGCGCACTGTGGTTGTAACAGCAACGCGTGTCTTTGTGTGAAGCTGAGTGTTTTGAAAGGACAAAGATGCACACCCGTTAATGACAGTAAAATGTGGTAACACTGGGTGCTGTGCTCTGCATATAACATTACGATTAATGATCATTAGGCTGTTTTGGTGGTGCTCCCTACGCATTGTGTGCCCTACACACAGAGCGTAATACACGTGTACTTAGCAACGGCGCTGTTTGATAATCGATCATTGCCATCAAAATCAAAGTAACAAATATGTTAGGTAAGTAAGGGGTAGAAAGTACATTTGTGTAAAAAAATGTAAAAGTAAAACGAAAAATGAATACTCAAGTAGAGTACAGATACGATGTACTTGTACTGAAAAGAGTTGGTCCACAGCCTCAGTGGAAAAGACAAAAGTTGGGCCACCATCCAGAAAGAGGAGTCTTGCTGGGTGTCAAGCTGACATTCCTCCAGCTGTTTGACTCCCCGCATGCATATATTTAATCTGCTGCTTTAATTTGGAGGGCCTACTTTACCTCCTGGAGGGACATGCTGTCATTGTCCCATTCAAGGACTCGTGTCTGGTGAGGGTCGTCTCTCAACCCTCTGCAGCATGTACAGGTCGAAGGAGTGGCACGGTATGATGCCACATTGATCTGGTCCTTTTGACATTTGACTAAAATATAGAAACTCGAGTCAACATCAGTATGTATAAATGAGTAATATTCAGTTTAAGAAACATGTATCTTATTTCAGACCGTGACTTATCTGCAGAACTCTCCACTATCAATGGCAACCTGACTGAGCTTCTCCAGGCCAGTAAAGACAAGCTGTCCTCCATGACTGAAGAGAGAGACCTGCTGAATGCCAGCCTCACTGAAATGACTAAAGAGGTGGACAGGCTTCAGAGATTGTCCAAACAGAGTGAGTGTTTGCCTGTGTGGGTTCTGCACAGCTGTCTCTCAACATAGAGATCAGGACTCACCACAGCCTTGAGTACAGAATAGCACGATTCAGAGAATATGATTATGACAATTATATCCTACTCTCAGTTCTGTAAACTATATTCAGTCAGTTTGCCTTGTGAACTGCTTAATATTAATAAAACTTCTGTATACAGTGATTTTCAAGTTTTACCATTTTTGTTTCTCATGATTCTCTTTTTTTATATTGCCTTCCTTTTTGTTCTAATATGCGTCATTTGAGTTCTGTTCAGCTCAGATCTTTATTGTCCTTCAAGGGGAAATTTGATTTACAGTAGACACAAAAAATATCATATTTGTTTATTTAAAGCATCAAACCATTGTAATGAAAGTCAATATAAGTACTGACCAGTGCTGTCAAGGTTCAGTGTACATTAAGTGTATTTATTCTACTTCGAACAAAAGAAGTACAAATAAATATGTGAGTAATTAGTCATTTGATCGAACAAGTAATTTGACTGATATTAGAGTGTGAGGAGTCATTAGAAGACACAGCATGAAAGCTCTTTGGCCTCACATTGGCCACCCCTTCAAATGAAGGAGAGTGGGGGGAGTGGACAAAAGAAAATGTAATCTCACCCTCTCAAATAGAGCAACATGGGTCTTTTCTGATCTTTATTGTATTTTTTTTGGTTCATTTTACAGAGAAAACTTGCCCTGCAGGATGGAAGATGTTCAGTTGTACCTGTTATCTCTTCTCCACTAATTCTTATTCTTGGGAAGAAGGCAGACAAGACTGCAGAGAGAGAGGAGCAGATCTGGTGATCATAGACAGTTCTGAAGAACAGGTAGTGTGCAGTTTTTATCCATAAAGATTTACTCAGCTCAACTACAGTATCGGCTATAATGATGAGGTTACAGTATTAATATTTATTATATCTGTTTATGCTAGTAAAAGCTTTAATTCAATCTTATTGGATCTTATTGAAATTAATCAATGTAAATTATATATATATAATAAGGTTCAAACTAAAAGATGGGATTTCTTTCCTTTACCTTTAAAAGGAATTTCTCACTAAAAACATCAGGAAGGACACCTGGATTGGTCTGACTGACAGAGTCAATGAGGGCACCTGGAAATGGACTGATGGAACTCCACTGACTCTGGCGTAAGGCATACAGTAAATACAGTAAATGTTCTACACCTTATTTGAATATAGGCACATATACAACTCTTGCTGTACATTACTACATTTGTTTGTGTACGACTGTATCAATAATTGTTATCAGAGTCAGACTGAACTTAATTTTCAACCTTTCATGTTAAAGTAGCTGCTCTACATGCAGTAAAAACTCACTGGTTGACTTCAGTGGGTGGAGACAAAATTGCAATTTTTTTCTGTCCATAAATTAATTGTTTTTTGGCTACTTGGGTGGAAAATGTGGTTATAATTCACCTGCTCATTAACCTCCTAGGTACTGGTTGACAAAGCAGCCTGACAATGGTGGTGGAGATCCACAGTGGGGGGAAGAGGACTGTGCACATTTGGTAGCTGGCGCAAAAAGGACAGAGAACTGGAATGATCTGCGGTGTGATGACACTCTGCAATGGATCTGTGAAAAAATGACTTAAGATTTATTGAGTTTTATAAATTCTGTTACTATGTAAGTTATGATTACTCAAAAGGTCTTTAATTGCAATTACTGTATGTGTAAATAGAAAGAGAGAAATAATGTACATCAACACTGGCTATTAAGGAATGGAGACCAGGAATTAAGATCTCACTTTTTAAAAAAAAGTTACTTCTTTTAAACACCGCTGCCTAATGTTACCACAAATGTTGTGGCTAACGTTATACCGAACATACTATAATGTTTGACCCTGAATGTACTGATTATGATAATAAAACAAACTCAATGCTTTCCTCCAGTTTGTTGTTGAATAGAGGAAGACATTTACTCTCACAGTCACTGCTTTAATCAATTCACCTAAAAAGTATGAAATCAAAGTAATTACTAGGACATTACACAGTCCACTCCAGAAAACCCAATGACAAATAACAATTTATACAGAAGATCTCTGTAATTGATCATTTAATAGGCCTGTAGCGACGCGTCAGCGTCAAATCTTTGCGTCGACACTTCGCCACAGCTCTACACACACACGTGGGAGACCAAATATTTGCAGAATGGAGGACGAAACAGCAACCTCCTCAAAGAATTCCCAATAAAAGCCCCAATAAAAGAAAAAGTAGAAAAGAAAGAAAGATACGTTGGTTAGCCTAGCACCACCAAAGTGCACAGCTGCTAGATCTAACTAACGGTAGCAAGAAGATTGCAGTAGCTTTTAACGTTATCCGTCTAACGTTAGCTAACTCACGTTAATCGTTCAATTAGTCATTAGTCGACTAATCGATAAAATAATCGCCAGATTAATCGTTTAATAAATAATAATTTACCCCCAGCCCTATCATTTAACAAAGCATTACATTGTTGTCAAACTGTTCCTGTTTTAAGTATTGCAATTGACGATAGTCATAAAGTGTTTTTTTTACTTGTTACTTCTGCAAAAGAAAAAAAAATCACTCTGTACGATTCCTTAAAATGAGTCTGTGTCCAAGAATGAGTAAAAAAACCCAACTTGAAAAGGGCCGGCCTCTCTGCCCCCTCTCTCATCCAACGGTTTCTCTGACTCAGATATGGACAGCGACGGGTCTGGGGAGCCTCAATCAATGCTCCTTCTCACCTTAGCCACCCTCCCCGATCTTGGCACCACCCTTTTCTCCTGCTTACTCTCTAGTAGACACAGAAAAGCCGGCTGACGAAATCAGCCGGTGGGTGCTGTCTGCTTTCTTCAATGGCGGCTGCTCAACATCACTCTTCACAAGTTTCGAGGGTTGGAAAGGTGAATAGGTTTTCTGAATATTTAAATGGGCAGGGATGGACTGGGACTAAAAAACGGCCCTGGACTATGCCCGGCCCAAAGCAATCAGCGCGCAGAAACTCAACAACAACAACAATAACGCCTGGCATGAGTGTCACAATACTTTAATTGTGGCTCATGACACTATACCATCTAAATTATAACAATAGCACTGATATTAAGAGCATAGTATTCTAGTTTAATTTGAATACTCATATAGAAATGGAGGTATCATCACACTGCAGTCCCTCTGGCTGAACCAATACAAAACAGGTATCTGAAACACACAACACATAGTACTGTATCAGTTATGATAAATCACAATGTAAAGAGGCTGTAAATATACAGTTTAACTTGAATACTCACATAGAAATGAAGGTCGAATACTAACCTAAAAAAACAAACCAGCAATGGCATTTTACTCAATGTTGGGGGATAAGGAGTTTCTTCAACAGGTCGCCTTTTTCTGCAACTCTGTCCATGACCAAGTCATTGTCAAGGGACATGAGGATGTCTTTCTCTGTGGTCATAAGCATGAATGCTTCCAAGTGTTCTTGCGACTGTGTGCTCCTTATTCAACTTTTGATGTGTTTGAGAACAGAGAAACTTCTCTCACAGGCTACCTGTGTCACAGGCAGAGTAAGGAGGAACCTGTATCCCCAGCCAAGGATATGATAGGCATCTGTGAAGAGGTTGTAGCGTTTCAGAATTTGATAGCAACAGACTGGGCATTCCTTACAAGATTTGCACTGTTTGTTTAGTACATCTGTGTCTTCTTCGTCATCATCACAGCCACCCCCTAACCATCCTGACTTTGTATTCTTCAAGTGCAGACATTTTAAGCCGTGGCCACTGAGCTGCCAGACACTTCAACTCAGACTGAAAATTAACAGCTGTTGCTCTGCTGTCAAACCTGAGCAAACATTTGCCAAGTTCTTGAAATGCAGAATCAGGCAGAGCATCTGATGACACTTCAGCAAAGTTTCTCGTATCAAGAAGAGCCAAGTCGGCATAGAGTGTACCATGGGTCAGAAAACGCCTGTGGATGCTCTCTGTGATTGTATCCATAATCTGGTTATGGACCTCAACTTCATAGGCTCTGTTTGCATCTGTGAGAGTCTCATCACTTGTTGTCATTTCACCAGCAAACATCTTCCTTTTCCTCTTCCTTTTCTGTGGAAGTTCTGCCTCCACCTCAAGCTCACAGTCCTCTTCCACCATGAGTTGGGCATTTGCCCACTGGACGAAGGTATCAGCAGCTTGCTTAACTGACTTAAAATCTCTTGCCATGTTCTTCATGGCATCTTGAGTTGCCATTACCGTCCTGTGTGCAGTTAAGATATCTAGTCCACTTGGCTGTAGGTATTTTGACAGCGGTGTTGTGACCTCAAAAATCCGCAGGAAAAGCTGAGCAGTTAACACTGTGTCATACCTCATCAGTGCCTCTAATAATCCTCTAGCTTTGACACGCACTGCAGTTTTTAAATCGGCCCTGACCTTGAAAGATGCTGAGTGTCATGAGGACATCAATGTATAAAGCCTGGTCTGGTTTTCTAAATGACCCAAAGATCCTCTTCAAGGCTACATCTTTGGCCCACCACCTTGTCTCTCTAGTAGAGAGACGTCTGTGTCGAGTGTCCTGGCTTCTTTGTTCCCACACGTTCATCCTTTGATACGATTATACAGACGAAGATACGGAGAAGAGGGACCCACTGGATATGGCCACTTCAGTTGTGTCAGCCAGAACTAGGTTCAGCATGTGCATAACACCAAACACGTACCTGGTTTGGGGCTTTGGATGACAGGAGTGTGGAGAAGCCTTTGTACTGGCCTTGCATGTTTAATGTACCATCTGTAGCATTACTGACACAGTTACTGATGTCCAGATTAAAACGTTTCATCACATCTGTCAGCATCTGGACAAAATATTGGCCAGTGGATGCCTCACACTTAACCACTGCAAGACGCCTTTCCTGAATTGCATCTGTAACATATCTCAGAATTACAGAGCACTGCTCATGGGACGTAATGTCCTGGGTTGTATCTATATGCACAGAGAATGTCACACTTTCAGCAACCTCTTTTGCAATGGTCTCCTGAATTAGCCACTTCAGAAATGACAGTGTTCACAGTGGTTTTGGATAAAAATGTTACAGCAGCACCGCAACCCCTAGCCTGTGACTAGTGCATCTTTTTACTTTTTTCTATGCACTCCCTAGTAGAATGATGAGCTCTAGAAAGTTGCCGTGGTCAATGTTGTGGTCATCTAGAGTGTACGCTGCCTCAGATTGCTGTCCTCTGTAGCTCAGTCCTCTCTTTCCTATGAACTTCACCACATCTACTACTCGTTCCAAGACCTGCCATCTCTTCCTCACTTGATCTCTGTGAGCCACAATTTGGGGACCATGTAGCAGGCTGGCTATATCTGATTTAGATGCCCTCAAAAAATATGCCTCAGCACAACCTCTGTGCATGTTGCTCCTTTCATGTTCCTCAACTCTTTGACTGATATGGTTCCAGTCCTGCATTCCACTTATGAAAGGATTGGTTACAGTTGGTTTGGCAAATGCTAAACATACTGCACAATACAGGGTATGGTTCTCTTCACAGTATGTAAGCCATTTTCTGTCTGTGCCATATTTGTGTTTTTAAACACTCTCGGTACTGTCAGGTATTTTGTCTTCTTCTGAGGGTGGTATGAAAAAAAAACCTCTAGGCTGTGACTGTCTGACTTGGGGCGCTTAAAGTAATTTAAGGTTGAGCTGGAGTGGGTGTCATCCTCTGCTCTTGGTCTAAGCTCAACCTGAATAAACAAATCATGGAATGGATTTTAAAAAAAAACAGGTTTTATGTATCCAATTGATTATAACAGCATATTATATAATCTATTCCATGCTATTTTAAAATGAATTTATTACTTAATAATCTTAATTAATTTATGCAGTAATTAATCTCACCGCACAAATAATAATACCACATTTTAATGAAAATACACCATTACAAATGTAACTTCTGTATTCAAAGTCTTCAAAGTTTGTAAGCATTTACTTTAACATTACCAAAACTTTAAAAAGTAAAAGCACAACATATTTCTTAATATTAGCTACTACTGCACGTGGCATTTTACAGCTAAAATGTTTAAGTTTAGCTGTTTTAACTACTGTAATCATTATTTCATTTCATTTTTTGCATTGTACTGAGCAACACAAACTGGGTATAGATAAAAATGTAGCAACCTGAATAACATTTCCTAACATCAGCCCTAGCAAGTAACTCTCTTTCTTCCTCTCTCATGTTCCATACTTACTTGCCCTGTATCTGTCTGTGGAACCAGCTCATCTCTCTGTCCCTCGTCATCACAAGTGGCCCTATCATGTTGAGGCTGCACAGCTGTCTGGCTCACTTCTTCACTCAGTTGGATGCTGCTAATATTAAACTGAACCTGTGCTCCAGTGGTGCTGCTGCTGGCTGTGCTGCTGAACATTTCAGTTAGTTTCATTGAGCGGCTTCACTCTCGCATTTTTTCCCCCCTCGCCTTCTCAGCCCTACCCTTTTCTTTCCGTTTTTTACCGGCGTTATTCATATTGTTTCTATGGTTTTGAACGTCTTTGCTGCTGCTGCTGCTACTACTTCTTCTTCTTCTTCTTCTTCTTCTTCTTCTTCATCCACTTCTTCTTCTTCTCCTTAATTGGCGGGCACGGGCAGGGCAGCTGGCTTCCAACTTAAAGGTGCATTGCTGCCACCTACCGTACTGGAGTGTGAAACAGTAGATTAGCAGGGGGAAAAAAACAGGTGATGACTGTGTGGCGGGTGGTGGACCACCGGCCGTCCTGGAGTACCGGCCGTTCTGTGATTCTCCAGATCACACAGATGGCCAGTCCGCCCCTGTAAATGGGTAATTATTGGAGAAAACTTATGTAGAGGAGCAGATCATCAGCCATCATGTATCTTAAGCATTTATGTATCTTAAGCATTTATGTGGAATGCAAGTTGTGTTTTGTTTTGATTTAAAAACATAGTCAAATGCTTAGGAAAACTTTTATTTTTTAAATATCACACAGGATTAGACATCTGTTATATCTGCTGTGAACTGCTGATCAGAGAACCCACAACTGTGCCTTGCAGCAGAAGTTTTTCATATGGGTTGCCAGATCGGGCGGCTGAAAATGGAGTGCCATATCAAAACTAACTTCTTTCATGATAACTATTATGAAAAATATACATGATTGATTTAAATGAATAATACCTAATACAAAATATCAGAAGCAGATTATGCCTATGTGACAAGCTAGGGGGAGCCAGCGATTATATCAGAGTGGCCCTGCCCCTATTGTTTCAGAATGATTACTTCTACAAAATAAATCACTCTTTCCCTGGAAAACAGGGTTTGATTTAGAAAACATTGTTTATGATAAATGATCTGAAAATGGTGTATATTTCCTTTCAGAAAAGTATAAAAGTTCAACTTTTGTGATAGGAAGAAACTGCTTGAGTTATTATTATTTATCATCATCAATAGGTGCATCTTGCACTTTTGTTTGGAGGTGTTTAAACACATATAGTAGTCCCTAACATGATCAAAAACACACACAAACATGCAAGAGCACTTATTATGAAAAGCTTTACATAATCATAGCTTGCATTGTAGAACTTATAACCAATACAGCAGTGTTAGGCTGTTTTTTCACAGATCCATTGCATAGAAGCTTCACAGGACCGATCATTCCAGTGAGCTAAAACCTCAGTGGTGATATGTGCACAGTCCTCTTCACCCCACTTTGAGCTTCCACCACCATTATCAGGCTGAGGTTCTTTCCAGTACCTAGTGGGTCAGAGAATGAGAGAATCATGACTATAGTCAGTAAAACTCCCCATGCACAGCCAGAAACAGTAGGGTGCTGGTAGGTTGCAGGGCTATGCAATTAAAATCAGTTAAAAAGATCTAAATTCACCACTACCAATTCTGATTTAGAATCATTTCACTGTTTATCTCTGACTAGGACTGCCCCCTGATAGTTGACTAAACTGTTAGTCACTGAGAAAAGTCTTAGTTTTAATCACTTTTCATTCGTCAGATAGTGGCTGGAAAAACAAAAACAACTTTGAACTTGTTTTAGCTCTTATAATGGTATCTACCTGGACTGGGAGCTCGAAAAGACACAGGGAGCTTTGGTCACACTTCTAGCATAGGAGAATCACGATCAGAACCGGATCTAGGCGAACGTGCAGTGGAACGGGGCATAGCTCTATCTCTTACATGAACACAGCTCTTAAACTACTGTTATTCATCAAGATCCATAAGCTCTGGACAAATCATATTTTTATGAAACAGTGGGTCCAATATCCATCTTTATAATGGCGTTTACTCTTTAGTTCAGTCTTACGGCTCTCATCAGCTCCACTTCCACCAGTCAGATAAAGATACAGGTGAATAAACAGCTACAGTCAAACAGACATGGACTATTGTCTCCTGGATGTGTAAATAGGCCATTTTTGCCATCACTTGTGCGTCACTAGTTCTTCTGCCCCCTTGTGGCCAAAAAATAAATCAGTAGAATTTTAAGATTTGGTAAACTAGCTTGTGCCCTGCTAGTTTGGTTATTTGGTTTCAGCCACTGAAGTCTGTGTCAGACAGTGAGGTTAATTATGCATGCACAGCATCAAATATATTCTAGTAATATAAAATGATAGTTGTATAAGTTAATATTGATATTCAACCAAAGTGAAGCCTTACGTCAGAGTCAGTGGAGTTCCATCTATCCATTTCCAGGTCCCTTCATCCTCTCTGTCAGTCAAACCAATCCAAGCACCGGAATTGATGAACTTGGAGAGAAACGTCTGTTCAACAGAAAGAAACCCACATCATGTTTTTATATAATAATGATTGTAACCTAATCATTAGAAATAAATACTACTTCTGTTGTGTGCCCTCCAAAGGCCAAATGAGTATTCGTGCAAGTAACGCAAGGTATCTATTTGCCCTTTAATCTAGTTTAAAGCTGTGGTATGAGCCTTAAATAAACAGATTTTGCTGTTATTTATGTTAATAAACGGATCAAAAGGTTACCAAAATAACTACATCATGATGGCGTTTTGTAAAAAGTCCAAATTCATACCTTGTTGGGTCTGTCTGCAAGACAAGCTAACAACTTTTAAAATGCTTGTTTTCTGAACAGTTTGGATTGATCCGTGGCTCGCAGCAGATAGGTTTAGAAGAGAGTAATAAAAGTTGTGGTAAAATAAAGTTAAAAAGTACACTCCAAGCTCCCCTCTTCCCAGTAAACGCCTACAGATCAGAGCAGAATCCGATGTGTCTAAGGGTGTTCCTTCTTCAGAAGCTCCAGCTTTCCCCCGGGTCAGGTTTTTGTGGGTCTGCAGCAACTCTCTCTCTCTCTCTGCTCCAATTCAGTTTCTTTGTGTTTTTGGTTTTAACCTGTGTTTCCTTTTGTCTTAGGATCCCGGTCTGCCTGCAACCAGCTCCCCCTTGCTTCCTTTTTGGCCACACTGCCTTGCCATCCTCCATTCCACCTTCCCTCTGCCATAACCAGCTATCCCATCTTATCAGCTTATCTCCAACAACAGTAAATATTCAATAATACTTCAACTTCATCTGCGTTCTATGTGTGGGTCCACAAATAAAAAACACACACTGTACCTCCTCTTCCTCGCTGTCTATCACCACCAGATCTGCTCCTCTGTTTCTGCAGTCCTCTCTGGCTTTCTCCCAGCTATCAGACTCAGTGGAGAAGAGATAACTGGTGCAATTAAACATCTTCCATCCTTCAGAACAGGTTTTCACTGTAAGATAAACATACAGAGACATTATAGACCAACAAGTCTCGAGTAATTTTTTGTAAAGTTATCTCTGTAGATGACATTTTCAATGAATGACCCTTTAATGCCCCTCAATCAGTGATCATTTAGTTGGTGTAAACTTGTTGGATAGTTTTTCTGCTTGACTTTTACACTTTCAACCTGATATTATGATTATTATTATTGTGACATATTTAACAAGAACAATACAACAGTTGAAAACAATATAAACTGTCTTCTCTACTAGAGATTATTTCATGCAGTGTAACTTTTGTGCAGCTAGGTGATAGAATAGTTAGCAGTGGTGTCAGCAGTTTGGCATTCAGTAAAACTGTAGAAGTTGACATTTGTGGAGAGATTTACCGCTACAATGTTCTACCTATTTACTGTCATATGCTCAACAGTTACAACTGAGTGCAGATCTCCACTGGGCAATAAATGGTGAAGCACCTAATAATACATTTGGTAACACTAGATTACAGCCTGCAACGTACAGCATATTTACTTGGAGTTACAGTGTAATCTCTTGTACTAATGGTGTAACAATAGAGTATGTACCAGTACATATAAAGGTACTGGGGAACAAGATGTGAAGTTCTATAATAAGGGGAGAATATTTTGGGATTATACAGAGAACCTATACTGTAGTCATTTTTTATCTACTGGGTACGTTTCTGTTATTGCAGGGTATGTATGACCTACTGAGCAATAATCTGGACCTGTCAGTGAAGATGTAGTGATGACTGCATCACTTGATAAATCTGATGTTGTTTCAAATGACCTTATTACCAACAAGCAAGCAAACTACATTGTCTCTTTATAATGAAGGTTTACTTGGACTAACTATGGGTTACATCTGTGCGATTACTTCAGAACAAATGTTCAGGGGACGTTGTGTTGTCATGGATACTGTCAGCTTCTCCCAGCAACCTTGATAACTGGATGTTCATTTATGGCCTTGTGGCTCCACCTGCCGTCAGCGGACAGAATCGACCCACCCTAGATGTCACTTGTTTTGTGTAACCACAAGTTGACAATTTTGATTTTCTTTGGAAAAAATCCATTATTGAGCTCAAATAATTGAAATGCCTAATCCACCAAGTACAGCTTTGCTTGACTAATTTGCAGCTTTTCAGTTATAAACTGCTGAAAATAAATCCTAAACAAAATGCCCCCAAAAAAACAGGTTTCCTGTATTGAGGTCAGTGAACTCAGAGCAGCCTGAACCAAACGATCCATAGCTAAGCAAGCAAACCATTTACAGAGACTTCATCTTTGTGGAGAGGATGATATGTATTGTAATGGACTTCACAAATGACATCACATGTTGCTTATGTGGGTTGATATTCACCAGCCTAAAAAATAAATAGGTCTGAAGATGCAACACATTAATATATTTGATACAGAAGAATATTTAATATTTGTGTGTTTTAGATCCTCTGTTTTGATTAGTATGATAAATAATACTGTTGCAGTTGATATTGTCCATTTGTTTATATATTCTATTTAACCACAAGTTTATTTTGTTGGATGAATAAAGCTTAACATTTATGACAATTGTCTGAATGGATTATCAACCAAATTTGATGTGTGGAAAAAAATGTAAAATATGTATTAGAAATGCTGAATCCTTGAGGGAATGTTTGGGGTGTTAGATTGTGTGAATAAATTAAATTAAAATTAAATTAAGTTTGACATTAAGTTGCCGGTTACACGGTAGATCATCATGTACAAAGTAGTCTGTAGCCTAATGATTTGGATATAAATATTGAACACTGGTCTGCTACATATCACAATGTTGCTAAACACTCTACCTTCTGCCTCTGACCTGTATGGTTTATCTGGAAACAACAGGAGGGAATGAAATTGCTGTTTTTAAGAAATCTTGAAAGACATTGTTTCACAACTTCATTTTTTGTATTTTTGGGGGATTTTTATTGCCTTTTTTATTGATAATTACAGCTGAAGATAGACAGGAAAGGGGGGCAGAGAGAGGGGATGACACGCAGCAAAGGGCTGCAGGTTGGATTCGAACCCTGGGCCAATGCTGCATGGGACGCCTGCTCTACCAGGTGAGCTAACCCACAACTTAATTTTAAATTGAAGAGATCAACAAAACATGACACTGTGGGTTGGTTTTCCTCCTTTCCTCCCCAGTTTTGTGAGTCACCAGCCGCCACTGTTGCAGATTAACTACAGGGTATGCTGGCTGTAATCTGAAGTGCCTTTAGTTCCCCACTTGTTACACGAAGGGTACATCCCAAGTCTCTTATTTGCGCCCCTTTATTGGATATCAGTTATTGATTGGATCTGACTCAGCGCCATTTAATATGATTATATTATAGTCAGAAACTGTAGAAATTCTGTCAAGAAATACTTTATATTATTTTTTTATTATGAATATTTTCTTAATTTACTATAATGATTAGAGAGGATGCTTTGCGTGCACTAATGTCACTGCACCAAATATCATTAAGCAGCAAAACTTGCCATGAAGTTGAAAGGACATAGAAACTCTCCAGAGGATTTGTCAGGAGGATGGCTGTTATACTATGAACAGTTTCCCTGTATGAACCTGGACTGTGTGTGGGAACATTAATTAACATTAGATCCTGTCAGCGTGTCAGGAGATTTAAATCATCACTGAGGCTGCTGTGCCAATGCGCACAGCGTCTCTCTTTATGGGGAGAAACTTCACCTTACTGTAAATGTTCTGTTTTTTTTGTGTAGTATAGTCATAAGATGCATAGAATGGTGCAGATGTCACTGTAGTCTCTACATTATTGGGTTATTTCAACTACTAAAATGTACTATTAAATACAATACTTTTTCTCTTTCTTTTCTTTTTATAGCCCACTGATTAGAAACTAAAATCAAAGTGTATATACTAGAAATATGTACAATGCAGTATGACTTAATCATTGAAACACTAAAACATGTTTTTTACTCACAATGTTTGGGCGAACTCTGAAGTCTTTTCAGCTCTTCAGTCATTTCAGTGATTCTGGCATTCAGCAGGTCTCTCTCTTCAGTCAGGGAAGAGGACTTGGTGTCACTGGCCTGAAGACACTTTAGGTTGGCTTTGATAGAGGAGAGTTCTGCAGCTGAACGCTGAACAAAGTTATGGTCTGAAATAATCAAACAAAGCTCTGAAACACCAGATACCTATTGTAGTTTGATGGAACATCACTGACATAAAGACAGTGTAGCTGTCAGCAGTAAGGATACAACAAAATGCTAAGTCCTGAAACAATGATCCGTGCCAAATTCAATTGAAATATTGCACTAAAATTAAATGAGGCATTGTTTTGTTGATTTGATGGTTTGGGCATTATTTCTTCTCTTTGTGTGCATTCATAATATACTGAAAACAAAATGTGAAAATTGAGGCAAGACAGGAAACCAAACAGATCAGAAAAATACAAAAAGTGGCCCATTTAAGAAAGACAGGTACATTTTCAGAGTAGAATGATGCTTCTATAATCACAATCCAGCCTGACTTTAACCTCTGAATGTGATTTAGACTCACAGTGGACACCGAGGCTGATGAGTCCAACCAGCAGGAGAACAGTGAGCAGACCCAGACAGAGAACAACAGATCCATGAAATCTCCTCTCTGAGCTCCTGGGGCCTGAACACAGAAAAGACCAGTGAATACAGTAAATCATACAACAGCATTAATGACAGGTAATAATACACATTTTTGCAGAGCTCAGTCTGTCAGCCTCTCTGTCTGAATCATTATTCTTACCTCTCTGATTCTGGGATGCTCTTAAGTCAGCACAGTCGTCATATTTATCAGTCACATAGATTTCCTCCATCGCTCATAAGAGTGCCAAATGTTCTGCTGTGGGTCAGCTCTGCAGCACAAGCTACTCTTCACAGTAATGATAAAACTGTAGCTGGGTTCAGTTTGTCTTCATTTACAGGAAGTCACGCCTCAAACTAGTTTCTGAGATAATCGCCTGTTATCTCACTTGAAAAAAGAACATGTACTTTATAAGAAGTATAAAGAAAAATAGTAGTCTTATCTTAAATTCTTCTCTCTTGCAACTATTGTGCATTAGGAAAGGATGTATATACATATATAATGATCCTTGTGTTTTTACTTACTATTAGATTCAACATTCATATTCAACACATCTGCAACATGTCTCATGTTTCAACGTAATAAAAGATGCGTGCCAACAGAAGTATGATTTACGAAGAGTTAAGGCAACTAAAACCTTTATCTGTGTGTGTGAAAGATGGTGGCCATGGCAACTAAACTTTGGTGACAAAAAAGAACACAGACACTGTCAGCACAGATAAGGTTTCAGTATTTCTTAGTTGCTTTGGCACGATCCTCAAAAGAATATTGTAATGCTCAAAATTCTGTGCAGCTCATTTTCTCATGTCAGTATTATCATTTCTTGTTGCTTTCATGTTTTTGTGTGGAAATATGTTGAGTTGACCGAGGGATGAGTTTATCTTAGTGATCAAATGAGTACACTGCTTCTCTAATGAACAGTATGTGTGCTTCAATAGTTTCAAGGCCTACTATAAAAAAAGAGACATTTTCTTCAGTCATTTAATTCTTGTGTGCAGGTCTTTCTGTGTTCATGAACTGTTGTTGATACGTGATACCTATACAGTAAGCACCTATATAAGACAAATTGGGACATTTTTTATGGTACTGCTTTTGTACTGCATTCTTTTTCACAAAGAGCCAATAAATATTTTCCACCCAACTCAGTAATACTCAGAAACAAAGAAACATTTTTATTGGACTATATTGACCTATTTGGTCCATGCTTGCAAATAGCAGCACAGAGGTGGCATCGTTTATAGACGGAGAAAGCCTGCGAGCTGATGGAAGAGTTGTGCAAAGTTGTGCAGAGTTTAACACAGGTGCATTAGAGATTCATAATTATTCAAGTAATTTCTATCAGCTGTAAATAGATGTTTTTTGTTTAATGCAGTTCATCCAATAGAGTTTTGGGTCTTTCTGTGAGATCTGTTACATCTGCTAAGAAAGATCAAGTGGATCCCAGTTTCAGAAAGCACATCTTAGAAATCAAGAAAAAATTGGAAACTGAACTGAACACCCTGTTGTGTTACATAAGCGTAGCAAACTATGGCAGCTGAGAAGGCCATTCTTAGCACTCTTTCAGAAGAATTTTCTGAGCCTGATGAAATCAGTTACTTGTTTAATACGATAAAAAGGTATGTCTGATTGTGTGATCTGCTTTTTGAATACAGCTGGGATTATGTGATATGATTATGTGCGCTGCTGATTGGTTAACACCTCTTGACACACCAGTTTCAATAAAATCAGTTATAAAGTTGTGTCTTTGTACAGTAATCAGTGAGGCCCAGCCACCGAAAATCCTTGTCCAGCTGTGATTTTCCAACCTAATTCTTGTCTCATTTGTGGTCTGATAAACAGTAAATCTCAAAACTAACTTTAGCAACACATGAAGGATGTATAAGTATATTACATCAAATAGATGCATCTAAATAAATGACATCAAATAATTAATATTCCCATGCTGTTCTGGATAATATTTTCAACCCAACACCATGAAATAACTCCTCTTTGTATTTCTGAACCTTTATAATGGAGTGTACTATCTGTTATGCTACTCTATTGAAGAATAATATAGAGCAAACATGTACCAGTCAGCAGCTCTACTGTGTTTTACCATAGCGCTCATCCAGCAAACGGAGGATGCCTACAGTCAGCAGGTATTTCTCACGCTGTAAACCAGAGGAGGCCATTGTTTCCTCACTGCAACAGCTGCTTTCTCACTTCCAGATGTCTGCACTTCAACACAGATCCAAATCCATTCTGTGTGTCAGCAGGATTATTACAGGGAGCTATGACTCTTTATTTATCCTGAACATTAGTGCCATTGTTGTGCATATTAATGAACTGAATGCATCCTGTTTAAAATATACAGTCAACAGAACACACAGTAATAATGAAAACTCCTTTAGATGGAACATAAACACAGACAGAAATATATCGTAATAATAATAATAATAATAATGTTTAAAAAATGCCGTAAATTACAAAATGATTCATTTTCTCTGACTAAGAAAACAACAAATTATTTTGAAGGAACCACAAAATAACTTCAAACAATTAATCTCTTATTAGAAAAGATATTGATTACATAATATATCTATAGATACTGTTCATGAACCAATCAATTAATAATCATTTCAGTTTCACCTATAATCAGATTCAAGATCTTAAATCTCAAATACAACAACATTTTCATTATTGTTATTGTCATTGTTATTATTTTATGATTATTGATGAATAATCCAATATTATTTTCCTAATTAGAGCTCACATCTGTAACGTGTCGAAGTGATGATGTTTAAAACTGTTTTCCATTGATCGACTGATTGTGTTCCAGCTACAGCCGTGGTTTAATCATGCTTTTGGAGCCCGGCAGTGACAATAGAGAGTAAAAATAAAATGCTCCATCCAAATGCTATTGCGTGCGTGTGAGCTACAATCTGTTCCTTCGTTTTAATTCATTCGTGCACACGAGATCAATGTCTGTACAGAGAGCAGCACAACAGAGCAGCCTTTCTCCCCGAAGCATGAAGTGCTGTGCTCCTGCTTCAACTGGTATTATAGAAGGCATGTTGTGGGCCCCCACATTCACCAACTACACTGACAATGAAGGACTAAACTATTAAATGAACAGAACTTGGCAATTTCTTCACCATAATAAACCCTCCATTGAACACATAGGTAGGCACTGACAGGCACTGCCTCCAATAACTCATGGTTTAGTTGTGGGTTGTTATGTGGGATTGTGATAGAGATTGTAAAATGTAAACGTTACAGTAAACATCTGGAAATGGTGAATGTACACACTTATTAACCACAGCCTAAGAGATCCATCCACATAATTTTACTCATTGATAGCAATGAGCTACCAAACTGTAGCACTATCCTATAAAATGGAGCTGACATCAGTTCTTCAGCCAAATGAACTGCATCCTATAAAATGCAGTTCCTATTTCCCATAAATGACAGCTCCTACTTTGTCACTGAATATTTTTTTTCTGTCTCAAAATGATTTGATTTCATTCATATGATTTCAATTTTATGATTATAGTATTTTTTCACCTGTTGAAATACATTTGAAGGGGTAATAGAACCCATGAATTGTAGTTTTCCACTTGGGTGGTTTACTCTCCTGCTCTTTCAATAAGTGCAGCAGTAACAGCCAGTCAGTGTAACTGTAGCGCCACTTGCTGGAGAGAGAGAGGAAAAAAAAGAAGAGTAAGGACAGACAGAAAATAGGAGGAAAGAAGCAAGTTTTGAAGACTGTAAAACTTTATTTTCCCCAATTTTTTGAGGATTCTGTGTGAAAATCAGTTTTTTGGTGTTTTAAACAATGATTTGGTGAGTGAAAATTATTTTTCAACGTGTAAATTAGCATGCTGTTTCATTGCTTTTAAAGCTGAATGTACAGCCTAAAGTGCCAGCAGCTAAGCTGAGTGTGAGGTAAGGATATGATGTGTATGTTGTGGCTTTTCTTTATGTAAAGTGAATTGAGAAGCTACGTGCACAGACCTGTTTAGCTTCGTCAACTGAGAAGAACGCTGCCGCCATTTTGCAGTGCAGTTCCGATTTAATTTAACAATTAACTTGTATTTAGGTGTTAGTCTTAAGTATTTAATTTTGTTAGAAAATATATAAGGCTAAAATACTTAATGTACGTGTACTGCACTATTTTAAAACAGGCCAGGTTTTTAGTGTGAAGGAGCTACTTGGTGTTTGCACACCTTAAGGGAAATGAAGATGGCGAGCCACCCCAAGGAGAAATCGTGTTGGATAAGGATCCCCTTCTGTGGGTCCAACCTGCTGGAGGGATAAAGAGACTGATTCACACACCTGAGTCGTGGTAGGACAGAACTTTTATTACTTTGCTGCTCATTGGACTTTTAAAGGACTTAACAAAAGGACTACAAAAAGAGAGTTGAGAATTGTTTTTCTGTTACTGTAACCTCTAAACTAGTGTACTGCTTAAGTAAACTAATAAGAAAGTAGAAATAAACTAGGCCCATAAATAAACTGAGTCAACTTAAAGAAAAATTAGATTCTAAAATAACAACTTCAAGGACCTGAAGTCGAACATTTTCTTTGAACTCATAAAGCCAGATAAAATATGGAGAAATGCTTATTTTTCTGTGATTGTGGTTTTATTTTGGAAGTTTTCAAGAAATTTGAATACAGAATTCTGTGTGTGTGTATATTAGGTTTGTTATTTCGGTACCATTTTGTGTATATTTACGGCCATCCCTTCTACATGAATAAGCTGGCAGTTCAAACCTACTTCTTGGTCTGTTATTCCTGAGTTCTAGTTATAAACTGCTCCTCTGAACCTAGACTCTGGTCCTAGCTATCTGTAATATCTACAGTGCTACATCTAGCTTAAAAATCAAGAGCTTTTTCACTGTTAAAAATTAAGTTTGTTACATACATGTTATGTACATGTTTTAGTAAGTTGTTAACTTATTTTAAGAAGTTGGTCAAACTCAAAATAAAGAACTGTCTTAACGCAGTCATTTATGGATTCGTAATAAACATTTCTGAGAACAGACAATATTAAGTTAGTGCAACTTCATCTAGTGGCCTCCTTTAAAATCACAAGCCTGAACTTGTCTGGACTTGTTTTGCTGACAGACCGCGCCTGCTGAGAAATTTCCATTTAAAGGTCCAGTGTGTAACATTTAGGGTTATCTATTGACAGAAATGCAATATAATATACATAACTACGTTTTCAGTAGTGTATAAAGACCTTACAAAAGGAAACGTTATGTTTCCTTACCTTAGAATGAGCCCTTTCTTTCTAGAAGTAGTAGAAAAAGTTATAATTGAAGTCTGTGTAATGTTCTTA